ACCCTCAACTACCTGCCCGGGGATTACGCAGGTAGGAACCCTCAGTCGGGGTGGTCACTAAATGAGTACCCTCAACTACCTGCCCGGGGATTACGGGACGGGAGGCCACAGATTAAGGGGGTCTGTGCGGCGGCGCGACGCAGCCAAGGGCCTTTCTCTCATGGTCTTAAGCACTCGCACTTGCGGTTGGCTAATTTACTTGAGATATGCGCGCTAAGCACTGCGTGAATTTGGGCAGTTTAAGGGAAGAGTGCCCGAAGCTCGTGGCTCATGGCCTATGGCTCCCAATCATTGTGGGGGCACCTTTAGAGATCTCACTCGCGCGAGTGAGCTCGCTCGCTCACTTATCGCTTAAAATCGCTTAAAACTGTTTGGGAATGTTGAATATGAACAGAATTGTAATGTGTGAGGAAATAATGAAAATCTGAACTGAATTGGTTGTTTAAGAGAAAAGCGAAGCCACCATACTGTGAAATAAGGAGGCGGGGCGCGGCTCAGGGAGCGAGCGAGCGAGCGAACTTTCTAATCGCGCTGCAGTTCTGCAGATCGCACAAACATATCAAACTGTACTTACACATCACTATCCCAGTAGGACAAAGAATTCAGGGGCATCTTGCTTTGTTTCCAAGAACTATTCTTGCTTGACTTCACTCAAAATGCTGCGGAGTGGGATGGACTGGCCTGGCTAGGTGCTGTTGCGAATGGACTGGTGTTGTTGATGGTGGGGGGAGCGGAGCTACCTGAGGTCAACGACCGCTCCCCCTCCTGCTCCCCCGCCCCTCTCCTCGGCTCTCGGTCTTCCGTTCGGTTGGGTTCGGTGCTCGGCTCGCGCCGCCGCCAGGGGAGGGGAGGGGTAGCCGCTCAGAGGTCACTCACCCCACCCGCCGGGCCCACCTCGACCTGCCCCAATGCTTAAGGGGCTGTGCCAGTCGCCGCCAGCGGTCCCTGCCCTGCCCCTCAGTCGGGGCGGTCACTAAATGACTACCCTCAGCTACCTGCCCGGGGATTACGGGCGGCAAGCCATAGCTTAAGTCAGTCTGTTGCCGAGAGCGGCCACCGATCCTTGCCCCGCAGGTAGGAACCGTCAGTCGGGGCGGCCGATAAATGACTACCTGCACCTACCTTCCCGGGGATTACGGGACGGGAAACCACAGC